GGCTCTCGGCGGAGGACGGAGCGTGGGCTCTTCCTCCGGCCAGGTGAGTGCCGCACGGGAGGAGGCAGCGGGCGGATATCTGGGCCGAACAGGGCCAGCCCTACAAGGTCCAGAGCTTGAGGGGCAGGCCGGAGACCCGGCCCCATCCTGAACCCGAACTCCTCTCCGAGCCAGGCTGGGATCGCCAGGAGCACCCCAGAGGAGGTGCCCCAACACCAGCCCTTCCTTCCTAAGTGCAGCCCCCACCCCGTCTCCCGAGGTAGCCTGACCGGAGCTTCAGTCTCCTCCCTGGCACCAGCTCTGGGATCCCCTGGGGGTACGTACAGCTGGGATGAAGAGAGGAGCCCCTGTTTCCCCCGATTTATGGACAACACTCACCCAGTGGTCAGAGACACCCCCCCTTGCCTGCCCGCACCTTCTTTAAAGAACTTTGAGGCCGCTGGTCACTGTGTAGCCCTCAAAAGAAATTTTGCTGGGATAGCTCAACGCTGAGCCATCCAGAGTGATCAGGGGGAGAGCAGCTGCCTGAAGCTCTTTTGCTCTTTACTGTAACGAGTGCTTCAGGGCACCGAGTAAGAACGAAATTCACAGGCTTAAACACATTCGAATTACAGGGGAGTAATGCACAGGGCAAGATTAAGGTAGAGAAATATTGTCTAACCCCAAGGCTAAAGAGAGAGAATTTAGGTTTTCCAAAAGGTCATCGAGGATAGAAACTGAAAGGAAAAATGAAAGGTAGTTACTAAGATTCCTAGCCAGCTGGCTGCACTGACTTGCTTTGAGGTATCGTTTGTATTTTCATGCACTCAGCAAGTGTTTGCCAAGCACCTACTATGTGTCAGGTACTGTCCCCCGGCGCTGGAGATGGTGTATGTACAGAAGTGTCAGCAACTGCAAAGGGTCTGAGGTTTTACCCTGTTTAAAAGTTAATAAGTCAGCCTGCCCAGTTTATAGATGCTGGCAGAACATGGGAGACTCCTGGGCCAGATACAAAGAACTTTGTTCCTCACAGCACAGCAGGCACCACAGGAGCCAGAGCTTAATGTACACGCTGGTTCCCCTTGCTCCAAAATTCCCTCAGGGTAATGCAGAACAGCCAAGGTGAGTGCTGTGCACACAGTGGGTCTGTGTCCCAGATAAGGGACTCCAGACTGGAAACCGAAATCTTTGAAAGGGGCTGCTAGCAAACCTGCCCAACTTTTGCCCCAGAAAGAATCGTTACCTTTATTATCAACGTTACCTGTATCCTCCCAGGCTGTTTGTTGTCATGCAAGCATCCTCAGAAAGATAGTGCAGGACAAAAATCTGTCAATGCCTTTGCCCTGAAGATGGGTACAAAACACAGGGTATCTATGAAGAATTGCCTCCCAACAAAATCAGCACAGTTCCAGTTTTCAGGAAACCCAAATTTTAGTGAAAGAAACAGCAAACACAACTAAATAAAGGAACAAGAAAATGTCAGAGAATGATAAATACGAAGCAGGAAACACAGCAGAGGATATGATAGCAGAAGAGTGACATGAGTGAGGGCCCCTTTAGCCTGGGTGGTCAGGTGGTTACCACGAGGGGGGGCATCTGAGCAGAGAGGAGGCATCAGCCCTGGAGACATCTGGGCTGAGAGCTAAAAAACAAATATGCACATGATCCAAGTTTTGAGTTTGTCTGGTGGCATTTCCTGTGGTTTTCCTGTAGAAGAGACATTTCTCGAAAGTTTTATGTTTTAGACTAATTAGGCTTGAATGTGTTGCTTGAGAGCGTGGTCCTCTGCAATCGAAGATGAGTAACTGATGATTAATAACTGGTGGCAACAGAGCAAGGTCACCTGGGAAGAGGAAATGTCTTTTCCCCTCTTTTAATAACACTGAACTTAATAAAATTTCTTTCATGTTATATGAAAGCATCAATATTTCTGGGGCACTCACAGGCCTCAGTGTTTACAAATATAAACTGTCTGGCTTACTTTTATTTCTCTTACCCCCACGAGGGTCTGTTTTTCCTTGCAGAGGATAGAAGGCTGGTTTCAAGGACTTTCTGTCCTTGCATGTCCCAAGCGTCAACAGATAGCACAACTCCCCCACCCGACTCTACCCCACCAGCAACAATGGAGGTTTGTGCAGTGGTTCCATACAAAGGCTTACTATTGTGTGGCCTTAACCTCTTGGAGGCTCAGTTTTCTCATCTGTAAAGTGGGACAACACTGACCCCTACCTCACAGGATTGTTCTGAGGATGAAAAGAGGCAGCGTGTGCTAAAGGAGAGCACAGTGCCTGGCACTTAGCGGGGATGCAGTAAATGATGACAGAGATGTTGATGGAAAGCAAAGCCAGACCGGAGACCCTCTGCGATCACACCTAGAAGACTTTTGTTTCTGCCTACGGTCCAACAACTTCACAGTTCAGTGACACTGCAGTTGAAAAGAAGAGACTTTCTCTGACCCGACATTGAGACGGAGGACATCACACTGTGTAGCTGGACATCTGTCAAATCAGAATTCAAATATCATATGAATTATCATCAACATTTGGGAACCTACTGAAGTCGTTTAAATGTTTATGTTTTAAAAAACATATAGAACTTACTTTGAAATACATTAAAACACAAAATGGATGGATGAATGGGTGGCTGGATAGATAAGTGATAAAGCAAACAGCAAAACAGTTGCAGAATCTGAGTGATGGTTATATAGGAGTTCACTATACACTTCTTCCAACTTTTCCGTATGTTTGACATTTTCATAATAAAATACCAGGAAGAAAATATTTACAGAGTCCTGACCATACAGCCAAGCTACCATCTTAATACTTCGTCTTTAGAAATCTTTCTTTTTTTCCTACCTAAATATATGAAGAAATGCAGTGACTTAAAAACAAAATATCTTCTAATGTCCATTTCCTTGATGACTGACGCTTGGCACTTTAAGAAGCTCTACGGAAAGTGAGGGTTCCTTGAAGCAAAGTTTGAGAAGCCCAAGATTAATAACAGTAATACTCACAGTCGGACAAATGTGTGTTTAGTGCAGCAATCACCGTTTTAGATGTTTCACCTATATTACTGCATTTAGTCCTCACAAAACCCTCTGGGATACAGAGTATTATTAACCCCATTTTACAGATGAGGAAACTGAGGCATAGAGCGAGAATAAGAAACTCACCCACGGTCACAGAGCTAGTAAGTGGTGGGTTAATAACACTGAACACTAGATTATGTCAGGTAACTAACCTCAAGCTAAGCTTAATGGGAGATAGAGATTATCAGTGGAATTCGTATCTGTTGTTGGGTTGTTTTTGCTATTGTTTGTGTCTAAGTTACATAAAAGATACCCTCTGATTATCAGAACCGAGCTCAACTGTACTAGACATCACTGTTAAAAAGACAGGCTTATTGCAGAAACATGGGTGGCCCTGGAGAAAGTCATTCTAAGTGAAGTAAGCCAGAAAGAGAATGAAAAATACCATATGATACCACTCATATGTGGAATCTTAAAAAAAAAAGAAAAAGAAAAATGAAATTACTTATAAAACAGAAACAGACTTAGAAAACACACTTATGGTTACAGTGGGAAGAGGGTGGGAAGGGGTAAATTGGGAGTTTGAGATTTGCAGATACTGACTGGTATATATAAAATAAACAAGTTTACACTGTATAGCACAGGGAACTATATTCGATATCTTGCAGTAGCTTATGGTGAAAAAGAATATGAAAATGAATATATGTATGTTCATGTATGACTGAAGCATTGTGCTGTACACCAGAAATTGACACAACATTGTAAACTGACCATACTTCAATAATAATATTAAAAAAAGGACAGTCTTAAACATCTGCATAAATTTAATTGTGATCATTGTTAAATCTACGCATCCACTCCCACCTCTGCTGATTTCTCCTTTGGACATTATGGCGTATTTCATTCATTCTAAGTATGATGTTGAATAATCAGAGGACTGTATTTTTCTAACAAAGTTTTTCCTGGACACCTTTTACAGGGAAAGCAGAGAATATGAAAGCGTATCTGAAGAGCGCAGAAGGCTTTTTTGTCCTCAATAAAAGTACTACGATTGGAAAGCATGAAGACTCAGACCTTGTTTTAGAGGTAAGACCGCTTCCTGCCCGTTCCCCGCCCCTCCCAGCCCCTCACCCCATCCAAGTCCCTTCTGTTCTGTGGACTCCGACCTCTCCTGAAGTACAACCTCTGGCCCACAACGGCATCTTTACTCTGTGTGCTACCGATAACCAGTTGCTTAGCGTGCTGGGTTTCCCTGGCCCACGTGGTGACAGTGTGCACGATGCAGAGTGTGACGGGCCATCTGTCCTATGCCGACCACATCTGCCATGTCCACCCAGTGTCCCCTCACCAGCAGCCTGATGGGACGGTGTGGAAGGTGGGTGTAGACCTTCACCTGCTCCAGGTGTGGTGCCCACCTGAGGTGCCCAGCCTGGGCAATGGCCTCTCACCCTTTCCAGAGCTTCTGGAGATTGTTGTGGGCCTCTCAGAGCCCACCGATCTCCCGGGAGTAAATCAGGGTAAGCCCTGGGTGTAACCTCTGCATCCTCTCATTTTATCTCACTCTCCAAGTTAGCTGTGGTTTGGTCCACAGCCCCAGCTCCTTGACAGACAAGGATGTTGGAAGAAAGTAAGGTATTATAGAGCAAAACAAAACAAAACAAAACAAAAAACAATGGCTTTGAGTCTTTTAAAGTATAGAAGGGGGTTAAAATATTGAAGCAGAAAGAGAAATCCAGTGGAATCTCCCTCTGACAGTGAAAGGTGAGCCTCTCTCAGACCTCAGTCGAAAGATTTTTAATAACTTTTTTATTTTGAAATCATTACAGATTCACAGATAGTAGCGAGAGAGAGTGGTGCAAGGCATGTGTGTAGTTCTATGCCATTTTATCACATGTGATAAGGGTATGGAACTCTTCCATCATCAAAGGTCTCCCTTGTGATATTCCTTCATCCTCACAACGCCTCCTCCCACCACCATTGCCAGACCCTGACAACCACTAATCTGTTCTCTGTCTCTATAATTTTCATCATTTTGAGACTGTTACATAAATGGGGTCGTATAATCTATGACCTTTGAGATTGAATGGGCATACCACTGTATGTGTAACCATTCTCATACTGAAAGACATTTTGATTCTAGTTTGGGGCTGTTACAAATAAATCTGCTGTAAACATTTGTATACAGGTTTTTGTGTGAACCTGAGTTTTTATTTCTCTGGGATAAATGCTTAGGAGTACAATTGCTGGATCATATGTTCATATTTGTTTGGTTTCTAAAGAAACTGCCAGACTCTTATCCAAGGTGTTGGTACCATTCTGCACTTCTACCAGCAATGTATGAGTCATGGCTTCCCTGCAGCCTCACCAGCAATTAGCATTAGCACTTTTTTTAAATTTTAGCTCTTTTAGGAAGTGTGTAGTGATATCTCATCAAGGTCTTCACTTGCGTTTCCCGAATGGCTAGTAATGTTAAATGTCTTTTCATGTATTTATTTGCCTTCTGCATATCCTTTTTGGTGAAATATCTCTTTATGTCTTTTGCCCATTTCTAATGGGATTTTTGGGTTTTTTAACCGTTGAGTTTTGAGAATTCTTTACATATCTTAGATACGAGTCCCTTGTCAGGACTCGTGGTTCGCAGATATTTTCTCTTGTCCATAGCTAGTCCTTTCATCTTCTTAACAGAATATTTTATGTAGTCCAATTAATCATTTTTTTCTTTTATAGATCATGCTTTTAGTGTCATGTCTGAGAACACATCACCTAGTCCTTGATCTTGAGGATTTTCTCTATGTTCTCTTCTAAAAATTTTATAGTTTTATGCTTAAATCTGTGAACCACTTTGAGTTCACTTTTGTGTATGATGTGAGATTTAGGTCAAAGTTCATTTTTATTGCATGTGGATATTTAGTTATTCCAGAACCATTTGTTGAAAAGACCGCCCTTTCTCTGTTGAATTTGCTTTTATGACTTTGTCAAAAATCATCTGGCCACACTTGTGTGGGGGCTATTTCTGAATTCCCTGTTATGTTTCATTGATCTGGGTGTCCACCCCTCTACCAGTGATTACTGTAGCTGTATACGTCTTAAATCAGGTACAGTGATTCTCCCATTTTATTCTTCTTTTAAATTTTTTAAACTTTTTCCAATTCTTTTGTCTTTTCATTTACATTTTAGTATAAGCCTGTCTACATACACAAAATACTTTGCTGCCATTTTGGTTGGAATTGTGTTTAATCCTATATATCAATGTGAGTAGAACTGATATCCAACTATGCCGCCCTCCAATTCATGAACATGGTTTATTTCTCCATTTATTCAGGTGACTCTTGATGTCTTTCATGACTGTTCTGTAGTTTTTAGCATATAAATCCTGTACATGTTTTGTTAGATTTACACTTAAGTATCTCTCAGTTTTCTGGGTGATTGAAAATGGTATCATATTTCTAATTTTGGTATCCACATGTTCAATAAGAGTATACAGAAATATGATTGATCTTTGTATGCTTGTATGGCGTCTTGCAACCTTAACTATATGTATTTCTTTATAAGGGTTTTTGTAGATTTAGAGGATTTTCTACATAAGCAATCATGTCATCTGCAAATACGGACAGTTTTATTTCTCCTTTCAGAAAAGGATATCTGAATGCCTTTGATTTCCTTTCGCTGCTTTATTTTACTGGCTAAGACTTCCATCCTCTGTTGAATAAGAGCAGCATAAATCCTTGTATTTGCTGGTTCCTGATCCTGGGGGAAAGCTTTCAGTCTTTCACCATTAAGTGTGCCGTTAGCTGTTGGTTTTTCATAATGTTCATTTTTATAAATGTTCTTATGAAGTGAGAAAGTTCCCCTTCGTTCCTAGTTTTCTGGGAATGTTGATCATAAACCTAACAGATTTAAAAATAACTTCATAAATCTCCCCTTGAGATTCTCATCTACTCTGTTCAGTGTGCAAAGTGGTGGGGAAAAAAGAGGAAAAAGAAATGCAGCTTCTCCTTTATCATAACAAAAGACAGATCCTGGGTAGTTTTATTTCCTGTCTGGCCAAAGTAAAGACCAAGATCTCTGTTTTGAACCTGACTATGATGTTAGAAAACTGTTGTAGTTTTTTTAAGTGCAGGCTTTGGAGATAGACAGATCTGAGTTTGAATCTCATTAGGCTACTTTGTGGCTGTGTATCTTCAGGTGAATTACTTAACCACTCTGAGCTTATTGTCCCTGTCTAGAAAGCTCTTACTCACAGGGTTGTTGTGAGGATTAAGTGAGAAATGCACATAAAATACCTGGTACGTGGTGCGCTAAGTAAATGACACCATGGTCGTTATCATAGTCTCCTAAAACTGAGAAGAATCCTCAGAGGTGCACAGGATTGAGATGAGGGGCCACTGATATTAACAGGCCGTTTGGAAAAGGAAACTGATGAGGACAGTTATTAAACAGGCAGAAATTGAGTTGCATTCATCATATAAAATTAACTGCTTACTGCTCCTCGGGCTTGTTTAAGAAATAAGTCACCACCGCCAGCAACAGCCACATTGATTTATGAAGGAATCAGCTGCATTTCCAGAAGCTGGAGCTTATTTTGACTCCCTAGAGAACAGATAATACATGGATTGCCAAGTGTTTCATGAATAGACTTTCTCTCTCTCTCTTTTTAATGGCGGTAATGGGGATTGAACCCAGGACCTCCTGCATACGAAGCACATACTCTCCCCTCCGCCCAGTGAATAGACTTTTGATGGGTACTTCTGTCCTCTCTTAGACAAATCATCTTCCCAATGCCTAACTGGCCTTGGGAGAGGAGATTTGCTCGAAAAAGTGGTATAGGGGCACAGGTTCATTTTGAAGAATTGAAACCTGCAAACATATCAACATTTTCCAGTTTTATAAAACAAGGCACGGTGAAAATTGCCCCTCCGCTGACTTCATTGGGCCTTTCTGATTAGAAGAATCACCTTTGATCAGCTATAAGCCATCCTGAGGAATAATTCAACAGTCAATTTATAGTTTGTGTTATTTGTGCCACTAGAAGTCATTCTCTTAAATAAAATTCAGAAATAAATATTAATAAAAAGTCATCCTTGATATCACCCGGAGGTTACATCTCGCAAATAAAAAAGATTGTTTTACTTACCTGGGTAGACCCTTAAGAATAGGCAGTCATGCTTCTAAAGATGTATACTCATAGGCAAGGCTGATACACTGGGTTGATTGTTGGTATCATAATGTTTTGACATCATTTACTTTTTCTGATAATGAAAGGTAGTTACATGCTTCTTGTTTTTCAAAGGGGGAGAGAGCCAAATATAAGGAGAAAAATAAAAGTCACACGTAACCATTTGGCTCAGGGAAAATCAATATTGACATTTGCAGGCTTTTCCCATCCAGACTTATTTGCTGTATCCTGTAAGCAACTTGGTTCCCTAAAGGCAATAGGAAGCCTGTTTCAGCCAGCCTAGGTTTTACTGTTGTCGTCACTCATTCATTCCATAATATTTACCTGAAGCCTCAACACTGACGCAAGCTTCAGTGTATACAGTGATGGCAGGATCAAGCATGGTTCCTGCAATCAGGAAGCTGCCAGGAGAGGCAGACATAAGTCAAAGTCATGTCCAACATTGGCTCTAGAGGAAAGGAACACGGAGGACAAGGAGGACTTAACTAACAAGAGGAGATGAGAATGGCATATGCAAAGGCCCTGGGGTAGAAAAGCATATTACAAGCACAGAGGACTGAGAGAAAACCAGTGTGTCCAGAAGTCAGAGTGGGAAGGAGGAGTGCTAATAGACAAGTAGGCCTCCTTCATGTCACCATGAGGATTTTGATCTCTATCTGAAGAGTAGTGGGAAGAAGGCACTGAAGGATTTTAAGCAATTGGGACACTTGCCATTGACCATCCTGGCTGCTGTGTGCAAACAAGCAATTAGGAGCTCTATTCAGAATCTCCCCTCTCCCATTTCACACGGCTCAAAAGCCTCAGCCTTGCTTGTTTCGGAGCTAAACCTTGTGAATTATAATTTATATGATTTGATGTGTCTTGTGAAGTGTAATTTTTAGAGTTGGATATGGCTGTCATTTAAAATCTG